ACCTTAGGTTCTCTGCGTAGACAGAAGTGGGCTCAGCCCTCAGAGGGCCATGGGCAAGGCAGGGCTGTCGGGTGGAGACGAGATTTGAGGAATCACTGGGTTGGGATGGGTGGGGACACAGCCGTTGCCCTGGGAGGCAGGTGCCAGGGTCCCTGCAGCCCGTCAAGCTTTCCGAGTGGGATGCTTGGAGCCACTTGTGCCACCTGACATGGCAAGATCCACCTGCTTTGTTCTGGAAACGCATTTCCTCAAAATCCAGGCCAGCCCTCGCCCGACTGCTGAGAGCTCGGGGCAGACACCCATGTGTGGTCCTCACTGGGCCTCAGGAGTGTTTGCTCCTGGAGCCCCAGGTATTGACTACACGGCTGACACCTTGCCAATGTTTGGATTGGTGTGCGTTGTGCTTCATGGCCCAGAGCATCTGCTGGCTTGCTCCAAGGACGTGGCATAGCCACATGAACCAGTACTTGGCCAGTTTGTCACTGTTCTAGAACCAACAGGACAAACTTGGATCCTGATCTGCATCTGTGGGCTCGTCCTGATGGAGACCCCTGAAGTCTTGCCTTCCACTTTGAGGCACAACACGAGGATGCCCCACCCCTTTTGTCGGTCCAGCAAATGTGCTCTGTCACTGAGCAGAAAGTGACCATGCCGCTCTCCAGAGGCCCCTCTCGGTTGGCCTGATAACGCCTCTTGGGGCAGCACTTAAACCCCTTCCTATCGTAGGGGAGGGCAAAGCTTTATGTCCAACTTGTTAGGTTCAGTGACTGAGGCTTGCAAATTAAGCTAACAAAGGCAGAGTAACAAGTGAAAAAAACATAATTTTATTAGTCTTTAAAGAAAAAATTTTTTTAGGGGCGCCTGGGTGGCTCAGTCGGTTAAGCATCCAACTTCAGCTCAGGTCATGATCTCACAGTTGGTGAGTTCAAGCCCCACGTCAGGCTCTGTGCTGACTGCTCAGAGCCTGGAGCCTGCTTCGGATTCTGTGTCTCCCTCTCTCTCTGACTCTCCCCTGCTCATGCTCTGTCTCTCTCTGTCTCAAAAATAAAATAAACATTAAAAAAATTTGTTTTAATTTTTTTTAATGTTTTATTTATTTTTGAGAAAGAGACAGAGGGTGAGCAGGGGAGGGGCAGAGAGAGAGGGAGACACAGATTCCAAAGCAGGCTCCAGGCTCTGAGCTGTCAGCATGGAGCCCAGTGCAGGGCTCAAACTCGTGAACCTTGAGATCATGACCTGAGCTGAAGTGTGACGCTTAACCGACTGAGCCACCCAGGGGCCCCATAATTTTATCAGTCTTTTAAATGTTCTATGGCACAAGAGCTTCACAGAGGCAAAATGAAAAACCCTTTTAGATATGGGATTATGTTCTATTTTAACAAAGGGTGATGATAAACTGGGGAGAAGTGGCTAGGCAAAAGAAAGGGAATTAGGGCTTGTAGGGTCAGTAAGTTGTGGGAAAGGAACTAGGGAATATATGGGGGGAGCAAGTGATAGGTCAGGGTAATCTGAGTCATAAAGTCCCTTCAGGCACAGTCCTGTCTGACAGACATTGTGATGAGTGCCGTCCCCTTCTGGGTACAGACAGGGAGGGCACCCTTGTGGGAAATTTCTGCTCTGCCTTGAGGCAGAAAGGAGGAGGGCAGAGGGCTCTTCCTACATCTCCAGAGAGTCCTTGTGCCAAAGTGACTCCCTCTGGGCTGGCACCTTCTGACCTCCTTCCCTGTACTAGCAGGTAGCTACCCTTCATGCTAGGGGTGCACAGCACACCATCTTTACCTGCCCCCAAAGGGCTGTGCCTGGCATTTGCACACCCTGGAGTGCTGGGTCCCCCAAAGCGCCACCTCCCTGGGCCTCAGTCCATCTAGAAGTTGGAGGGAGAGCGCAGTCAGGTGGAGAGGTGTGGGGCCTGCAGGGAGCCCAGAGCAGGCCTGGAGAAGGAAAGGGGACCGAGTCAGGGGAGGGCAAGGGGCCTCGGTGCTGGGGGGGAGGGGACTCGTAAGTTAATTTGAGGCTGTCCCATGTGTCATGCCTGGCCGGGTTGACTGGAACGGGGATGGGGCCCACCCAGCCAGGGTCACACTGGCCTTACCTTCCCGTAGGGTAAACTGGAGAAGTCCCTAGAGCATCTGCGGAAGCAAATGGAGGACGCGCTGCTGTTCCAGGCCCAGGCCGAGGAGACCTGTGCCTTGTGGCAGGCAGGTGGCGCGGTGCCCTGAGGTGCCCAAGGTCGGGGGGTGGGGGCGGCAGGCAAGCGGGCGCCTGCCTCGTGCTGTGTATGAGGAAGGCTCCCTGCGTGTAACCCGCCCAGGAGGGTGAGGCTGGGGACTGGACAGGACGTGGGGGCCCCAGGTGGGGGATGGATGAGGTCCCTGGGCCCTCAGCTGCCCTGTTCACCCTGCAGAAGATGGTGGAGAGCCAGCGGCAGAACGTGCTGGCGGAATTCGAGAGGCTGCGCCGGCTGCTGGCAGAGGAGGAGCAGCGGCTGCTGCAGAGGCTGGAGGAGGAGGAGCTGGAGGTCCTGCCCCCGCTGCGGGAGAGCGCTGCCCGCCTGGGTCAGCAGAGCGCGCAGCTGGCCGAGCTCATCGCGGAGCTGGAGGGGCGCTGCCAGCTGCCTGCGCTCGGGCTGCTGCAGGTGAGGCACACTGCGCCCCAGGTGTGCGCGTGCTGGCTCTGAGAAGGGATGGGCAGCGCTGTGCCCTGGGGGTGCCTGCGTGGGGGCTCTGGGCAGGGATGGGCTCACGGGGCAGAGAGAGGAAAGCAGAGAAAGCCACAGCCGGATGGGGCAGTCTGCGCGCTCAGCTCACCCAGGTGTCACCCGCCTGTGAGAGGTGAGGGCGGGGTGGGGGGGGTAGCTGGGACCGGCGATCCACATGTGGCTGCGGGTCCTGCGGAGTGGGTGCAGATCTGGAACTTCTCCCGGAACTGCTCCAGTGCCTGTCCTGTAGCCCTATTGGACCGTGTGACAGGTGGCATCGGGTCTGTGGGTCACCAGGCTAGCTCCAGAGGTTCTGGTCCCCTGGACTGCGAAGGGCCGGCAGGAGTCCTGTAGGATTCCTGCGCCAGCCCTGTGGGGCCCTGAGACTCTGCCTGGCTCTTGGCAGAGGGTGGGAGTGAGGACGCTGTGTGTGTAGCCCTGGGCGTCTCCCATGGGTGGTGACCCTCCTGCGTCTCACTGACCAGGCAGAGGCTCCTGGCTGCCCTCCTGGGGTCTGAACTTGGTCCTTCTGCCCTGCTGAGACACCAGGCAGTTTCAAGCCTGGGAAAGAGGAAGAACCCAAGACCAAGTATCTCGCGGGGTTTCAGGCAGAAGTAGGCTGTGGTCAGTGAGGCAGAGTCTGAGCCGCCAGCCAAGGAGGTCAGGGGAAGTGAACCAGGGTGGAGAAGGCAGGGACACCCCAAGTTCTGGAAAGAGGAGGGGTCAGCCCCAGATGTGAGATGATAACTCCAAGTCTGTATGAAACGTGATTTGGGACAATGTGAGCTGTCCCAGTGGGTTCACTGGAGGCTCCAGTGGCGCGGGCACTGGGTTCACTGGAGGCTGTGGGTGGGTGGGTGGTCTTGACTGGCCTGCTGCACTCCTGAAAGTGACCACCTGCCCCCCAGTGCTCCCTGCCTGTTCCCCCACCTGCCCTCCACTGCCTCCCCCAACCTGCTCACATCTCCTGGCCTGGATCTTTAGCTGGCTGGCTAGCTAGAGGGAGGACCCCTGTCCCTTCTCCTATCACCCCCCAGCCCCGGAGCCCCCCTTGCCTGTGCTAGGGGTGGGGTGGGGTCTGCCGTGTGGAGGGCCAGGAGAGCAGACCCCAGCAGTACCCTGTGTACTGGTGTGAGGGAGCGAGGTCAGGTGCACCTGCACCCTCGGACCTCAGTGTTAGGCGGAGGACTGCTGCATGGGTTCTGGCACCTGGGTGGGTGGGGATGTGCACCCTCATGGACAGAGGAAGTGAGGGTTTGGGTGACTTCCAGGAACCCACACCTATGAGTCCCAGCTGTGTGACAGAGTCTGGGGGTCCCAGCTTCCCCCGCCAGGCTCACCCTGTAGCCATCCTCGGTCCGCTCAGAGCCTTTTCCTAAAGGGATATATGTGTCTCCAAGGGTCCATGTGGTCTGCATGGAGGCCAGCCCCTTTCCTGGAGCTCAGGGCCCTCCACATGACCCTCAGGGTAGGTAGGGCCTTGCTCTCGCCTCAGGCCTTGTGACAACCAGAACTGCCCCCGTCATTCCCCAGTGCCCCCTGGGTGGGCTGCCCACCCAGCAAAACTACCAAGGACAGGCTGTTTCTGCTTTGCATGCTACCCACACCAGGTTCCTTGTCTCCTCCCTGTATCTTCACATGGTTGTCCCTTGTCTGTGCCCCAGTCCCCTCTTCTGATAAAGACCCCAGTCATGTGGGATCAGGGTCCACCCTAGTGACCTCCTTTTACTCAAACCACCTCTGTAAAGTCCCCATCTCCAAATCCAGCCCCGTTCTGAGGCCCTGGGGGTTAGGCCTCCAACATTTGGATTCGAGGGACACAGTCAGTCCCTCATACTGAGTACAATGCTTGTGTGTGTCATTATGGGAGAGAGGAATGTCCAAGTGGAGAGGCCTCACCTGGAAGGTGGGTGTGAGTCTGGGACCTGTGGGAGGGCAGGCAGCAGACAGCCAGGTACCCTTGAGCCCTGGAGGCCAGGACCCCGCCCACGTGTCCCACCACCCAGGGGTGCTGGGGGCTCTGGATGGGCAAGGAAGTAGCCAGTGCCCTGCATCCTCTAAGCACATGGGGGGTGTGAGGCCAGGTCTGCACGGTGGCTGAGCCCAGGGTCTTTCCAGGGTCCCCATGTCCAAGCTGCACTTGGGACAGCCCACCGCTGGTTCCTGATCACTGGTGTATGAGTGTGTGAGTGAGTGTGAGACAGGGGGGGCAGAGCTGGGTCTTGGGGGACACTGGTGGCCGGGGCGTGGGGGGGCCCAGGGTCAGGGGACAGGCGCTGACTGGCGTGTGTCTCTCCCACAGGACATCAGGGACACCTTGCGCAGGTAGGAGCCCCGGCCTCTCCCCGGGGAAGGTGGGCAGGGTGCAGGGCAGGGCTGCCATGGGGGGTGACGCATGCTCTGCCCCCTCCAGGGTCCAGGACGTGAAGCTGCAGCCGCCTGAGGTGGTGCCCATGGAGATGAGGACGGTGTGCAGGGTCCCGGGGCTGGTGGAGGCCCTGCGGAAGTTCCGAGGTGGGTACCCTTGTGGCCCAGGGGACGCACTGGTCCTGAGCTCCTGCAGGCATGCAGGGTGGGTCTGTTCCTGTGGCGGACCAGTTCACAGAGACCTGGAAGGTTCAGGCACCAGACAGCAGCTAAGGGAGGGCCGGTCTGGCTGCTGGCCTGGGCGTGTAGGAAGAGCAGAGGTCAGACCACCGCCGGGGTGGACAGGTCCACCCGCACGGACCCCAGCTGTGGGGAGTCCAGGATGCGAGTAGGCTGGACACTCCTCCCTTGCCCCAGGAACTGGAGGAGTGGCTGCAGGAAACCCTTGGGGTTTCACAGGTCCTCTGAAGGAGGGTGCATCGCGAGGGAGCCTGGATCTCCTTCTGGAACATTCCGAATTGCAATGGCAGGTGGTTAGGTGATAGCTTTCAGGGAGAGAGGCAACATGGGGCGTGGCCAGTGCACAGCCAGCCCCCACAGAGGTCCACAGGGGCGCACAGGCAGGGCTGCCCACTTGCTCCCCCAGTGACCTCCACTCCATCTGCAGGGGATGTGACCCTGGATCCTGACACCGCCAACCCCGAGCTGGTCCTGTCAGAGGACAGGAGGAGCGTGCGGCGGGGGGACCTGCGGCAGGCGCTGCCCGACAGTCCCGAGCGCTTCGACCCCGGGCCCTGCGTGCTGGGCCGGGAGGCCCTCACGTCGGGTCGTCATTACTGGGAGGTGGAGGTGGGGGAGCGGGCCAGCTGGGCGCTGGGCGTCTGCAGGGAGACAGCCAACCGCAAGGAGAAGGGCGAGCTGTTTGCTGGCAATGGCTTCTGGATCCTGGTGTTCCTGGGCAGCTACTACAACTCATCTGAGCGCGCCTTCGCCCCACTGCGCAACCCGCCGCGGCGCGTGGGCATCTTTCTGGACTACGAGGCCGGGCACCTGTCCTTCTACAGCGCCACTGATGGCTCCCTCTTGTATGCCTTCCCTGAGACCCCCTTCTCGGGGACCCTGCGGGCCCTTTTCTCACCTCTGTCCAGCAGCCCCACGCCCATGACCATCTGCAGGCTGAAAGGTGGGCCCGGGGATGCGCTGGCTTCCCAGTGACGGGGTAGCCTCGTGGCTCCTCACCCTGGCTCCGGGATCGGGGACTTCTGGCTACACAGGACCCTGGGTGGGTAGTGCTGTCCTCTGAGCCAGGGAGATGCACACGGTGCCGTGCACAGATGTGCGCACAGCGGAACTGAAGTGAGCTCGCTCCTGCAAGCGTGCGCTGGCATGTGCGGGGCCAGCTGCGTTCTTTCCTGGGGGCCACAGGGCGCTGAGACATCCCAAGTCTCTGGTTTCGGAGCCCTACAGAGGTCTGGGGAGAGGCACCATGGCCTGTGGGACATTCTCCGGCTGAAGCCTGAGCCCCCGACGGCCCTGGAGCTGCTGGCAGGAGGCCATTCCAAGCCTGCCACCCTGTGTCCAGGTCCCATCCACTACAAGGCAGGGCAGAATGGGCTTCGGAACAGCCAGGTACTGGGTGGTATGCAGAGGTGGCCAGAGGAAGCTGGGAGCGCAGGTCAGGGGGCCGAGTGACCACGCCCCTCCCCCAAATGCAGACCACTTGGGTCTTCCGGAAAGTGCCCTTCCCTGGCTCCCAGTCAGGTGCAGCAGAGGTTAGGGCCCCCGAGGTGAGCAGGCATAGGAGCCCACGGTCTCCCCTGGGCTGAGAACCACCAGCTAGACAGTCACCCTCTCGCTGATCCCAGAACTCTGTGTACCCAGTCCATAGGCATCCCTGCCCTGCCTGGGGAAGGCTAGGCTCAGAGAGCCCCCTCCCTTTCCTGCTAACAGTCTGGGATTTGTCTTTGCTTTGTTCAGACTCTTGGTCACCCTGCTTAAAGGTGTGCTGCAAATTCTTTGTACTCTAGATTTTATTTATTGTAAGGACCGATGTCACAGCAAATAAATTAACTGTTGTCTGTAATCTGCTGTCTGCAGTTGTGGAGGTGAGGAAATGCACCAGTGAGGGGGATGGCCCCGGGAGGGTGACACATAGGCGGGACCCCCAAGGGCGAAGTCAGGGGCACAAGTCACCCCCATGGGCACAGCAGACTCCTAGCCGTGTTCTCCTGTGCGTTCATCTCACGCACCTGCCTCAGGAACATTTTTCTTGTTTTGTTTTGTTTTTCCAGATACCCAGAAAGTGCACAGTAGCTAAGTGCTCCATTTATTTGGTTATGCATTCTCCCATTTTTTGACTTTTTGCTATTGTTACTTTTCTTTTTATGTTTATTTTGAGAGCGAGTGTGCATGCACAAGTGGGGGAAGGGCAGAGCGAGAGAATCCCAAGGAGGCCCACGCTGTGAGCACAGAGCTTTATATGGGCTCGATCCCACAAACCACGAGATCATGACCTGAGCCACCATCAAGAGTCGTGTGCTTAGCGGCCTAAGCCCCCCACCAGGTGCTCCTTGGCTATTGTTATAAATTTATACCACTTTGAACATCCTGGACAGCTCCCTCACATTACATACCAATGGGCGAGTATTTTCTCAGTATAGCGGGGGTCTGGCAGTGTTTCCTACCTCTTCCCAAGTGACTTCCTGTTGCATCACTCCTGCTTGAGGATCAGGGAATACTGGGTGCTCCCACCTGCAGCAAGATTGGCCCTACGGTTTGGGACTTGGAACAGTGGCCATCGGGAATGCAGCCGGCAGCAGGACAGCCTCATGGGCAGGAGAGTGGACAAGCACCAAGCCACACCCAGGACACCAGGACAGATGCTCTGGCCATGGCTTTAGGAGGGCACTGGGTGCTGGTGTAAGGGTGGAGACCTCATTTTTCCTCTGCCCCTCTGACAGCTTCACTGTGTTTTCGACACAGAGACTGATAGGAGATACCTATGGAAAATGAGTAACTCAGACCAGCAGCTTAGAAAGGTAGTTTAGGGGCGGCTGGTGGCTCAGTCGATTAAGCGTCCCACTTCACCTCAGGTCATGATCTCTCAATCCATGAGTCCAAGCCCCGCATCGGGTTCTGTGCTGACAGCTCAGAGCCTGGACCCTGCTTCAGATTCTGTGTCTCCCTCTCTCTCTGTCCCTCCCCTGCTCACACTCTTGAGTCTACCT